CCCGCCCCGCCCGCCCCACCCTCCGCGCTGGCCCACAGCTCGCCGTCTGCACGACACACCGCTCACTTATTTCCTCATACTAAATTATTTCTTTCTAATTTCATCAAATACAGACAAATATTCAAGATTACATAAGTACTAGCACAAGTGCCCACATGCATCAGCTTTCCTGTCAAATTCCAAAAACGGTCCAAGAGATGACCCGGAACAAAGTCGGTCTCGGAATTGGTTTTTCGTTATCAGTAATGCAAATACATCATGTGCACTAAATGTTATTTTTTTATATTAGACTTACAGTTCAGAGTGAGGTCCGCGACGTCGGTGAAGTCGTGCAGCGGAGGCAGGTCCGCGCGCAGCACCGCCAGCCGCGCGCCCGCCGCGCCCTCCGCCGCGCCCCCTGCACACCACACCGTTACCCTCCCGCAACACACCGCAACGCACCACAAGCGAACACCTCCCTCCCGTACACACCGTTGTGCGCGTGCGCGTGCGCGTGCTCCGGCTCGCAGGGGTCGCCCGGCGCGTGCGGCTCCGGCACGCAGCGCGCGCCGCGCACCGCCGCCTCCAGCCGCACGCCGCTGCGCGCGCTGTTGCCCGCCCGCAGCCGCACCTGCGCGACCGCAACAAACCGATGCTACTACTCGACTTCGACGGGAGTCATGTTTCAATATTGTTATAGGGGTTCATGTACGTACCGTGAGTGCGGGGTCCTCCGAGCCGCGCGCGCGCATGTGCAGGTGCAGCGGCGCCGCGTGCTCGCCGGCGGGCGCCGCGCGCGCCTCCACGCACACCACCAGCGCGCCGCCCGGCACGTTCGCCTTCACCCTGCACACGGCACACGTCACTGCCCGCCCCGTCCCCGCCCCCGCCCCGGCCGGCACACTCACCTCACGTAGGCGGTGAGGGGGCGCTGCGCCTCGGAGTCGTCGAGGTCGGTGGCGGGCGGCGGCAGACGCAGACGCAGACGCACGATGTCGCGCGTGGCGTGCGGCGGCACGGCCCACACGTCGCGCGGCGCGCTGGCCCCGCCCGCCGGCAGCTGCAGCCCCACCCACGCGCCCGACGAGTACACCTCCCGCACCTGCACGCCGCATTCTTAATGGAGGAGGAGGACCTCAATAGCCTATCGTTTAAACCCGAAGTAAAGCACTTCGCCGGTTTTCAACAGACTATTTAATTTTGTTGTAAGAAAATGGTAAAAAATATTAATATTGACTAAAATTTGCTTCTGCGTCTAAAATATTGTGATTACAGTTATTTTTTTTTTCTTAAGATTGGGCTTTCGTACCGTTATCTTTTTTTAGATTAACTCATACAAGAAGAACAAAATAAAAAAATCTTAAAATGTAATTTGTTTCTGCAATTTTGTAATGTTGTAATAATGTATATAACCTGTATGACGTGGTCGGTGGGGTTGTGCAGCGAGAGCACGGGCTCCACGGAGGCGTTGACGGGCACGCGCACGCCCACCAGCGGCCACACCTCGTACTCGCTGGCCACGCCCACCGCGGACACCTGACAGAGCACACACCACACATCTCAGTATTCTGTCCTCGCCGCAGCTGTTGCAGGTAAATCAGTGGAACAATAATATGTATAGTTACGGGGTACTTGTAGACGCCGAGCGAGGTGTGTATGTAGAGGTGCGATGCGACGTGCCCCGCGCGCCGGCCCAGGTACACCACGCTGAAGGTGGTGTTGGCGAGCGGCGCCAGCGTCTGCAGCCCGCACCACCACGTCGCGTTATGAAACCGATGCAAACAAACATGCGTTGTTACTGTCACTTTCCACCTCTAAAGCGATACTCTATAAAATCTTTTCAAATGCTAAAGATTTGTAATGTTGTACAGAATATTCATGTGATACAATAATGTTGGGCAAAAAGACATGGAGTTTAGTGCAGCTTAAATCAAGCCAATACGGTCACAAAATGATTGATTACTCATTACATGGACAGAGCAAGGTGTATGGCGGGCGACAAGCGACAGGCGACAGGCGAGTGGCGAGGGACGGCAGGTGTTGAATGCAGGCCGACGCGACGCAAGGAAAGTTCGAGCTTGACTCGCGCCTCTCGACGTCAAAATGCGAACTTTCCCCGCGCCCCGCAAGCCCACGGTTTTCTTTTCTCATCTTCTTTATTGTCCGCCTTGTTCACGCTGAATGCACTACACTAGATAAATTCCTTATTGAAAAGTAACTAACATCGAGATACGACACATGGATATATTACACGACGTGTTTAGTAACCGTTATTTCTTACTATGTGTAAACGTTTCCAAAACATTTATTAACCTTAGACTCGAAGAAGGAAGCATGGAAATCCGGCGTGGTGCCGGCGACGGAGGCGAGGTGCAGTGTGGCGTTGCCGGTGTTGGTGAGAGTGACGGAGCGCAAGTGTGGCACGGCGAGCGCGGCCGGCCCGAAGTGCAAAGCCGCCGGCTGCAGCGCTACGCCCTCCGGCGCCGCCGCCCCCGCCGCGCCCGCCTCCGCCAGCCCCGAGCCGCCCCATTCCTGTGCACACACAACCATGTAAACATTTTGCAGTATCTTTCACATTTCATTGTTTTAAAAAAATAGGGGTATATAATGTTATCAAGTGTTTTACCAGATACATTTTGGTATTTACAAGTTTTTGTTAAACATGTTGTTTGTCTAAAGTAAAGGTGTCAGACTGGCAAACATGTTAGAGTTGTTACATGTAAAAAAAATATATTACTGTTCTTACTGGTTAAAATAGCATAATACTTTCTGATATAAAATTGTATTTAAACACACACCATAAATCTGATATTGAAACATATTTGTTGTTCTTTTTATATTGTCATCTTTTTAATAATCTTTTCTGTGCATATGTGGGTTTTACATATTATATGAACTAGCCTCTCACCAGGACAGATATTCTTGTTTGAGTACATTGCTACACTATGACTATATCAAATATTTAAGAACACCAAATAGGAGCAGAACATACTTAACAAGAATTACTGAAAAACAAAATTCAAAAAGTTTATCAACTTCAGATATCTGCCATTAAATACTTAACTTTCAGGGCAAGAGTCTCATTGCATACTTACTTGAAAATTTAATCCTTCTATGAGAGTGTCATGTAATGTGGCATCTGCAAAAAATAAATGAATATCAAGTCAAAGGAGTAAATATTCAAATCGATATAACTTAAAGACAAGCAAATAAAAACAGTACATCCTATTTACCAGCATAAAAACCTTTCTACCTATGTATAGCTATACTTTTTTACAGTGTAAAAAGTTACATTTAAGTCAAATATTTTAATACTTATGGTAGTTTTACACCTCAAACACCTCTATGTATCTGCAATCCAGAAACTTGCCTTAAGTGAATTAAATACGATATATACACAATAACAAACAAGGGAGTGTTGTGCATCCTTATTTGCCTACAGAATCTGTTATTTTTCTAAAATAAGTCCTGCCGACCAGAGAAGAAATAACGAGACTCCTCATGCTGCACTTGCATTCTACTCCATGTGCGACTGTGCTGTATTATAGTTAAGATTTCTTTTTATAAAACCGAAACCATTTACAAACAATATCCATCCTTCATAGAAATGTGTAATACTCAAATCGATTTTACCATGACTTTTCCCATGAGCTGTCAATTTTGTATGCGGTGAAATATCCACTAACGTCAATGCAAGAACATAACACCATAACATTCCTCGACACATTTCCGCGTATTTTCGTAGAACACGGATAATTATTCACATTGCTTTCTTTAAATAGTTTTACGTTAAAATCAAACTTTCGCACTTCGACTCATTAAATTGCGTTAAACATCCAAGTTTTCAAGTGAAATTCGTGATACGAAAACCAACCACAGATCGGATGAAAATGAAACTGTCAGAATAAGCAGAATGTAATAGATACTCTTTGGTTTTTTGAGCATATATAGAATAGAGATAACCAAAGAGTATATAAGATAACGAACAATGAACAGATTAAAATAAATAGGTGTCATAACCGGTTTCAGTTATAATATTTACTCACTCTGATAGAGCCTCAGTATCACAGTGGTTAAGCACTTGGCTTGCAATCTGCAGGACCTGGGTTCGAATCTCGCCATGTACCAATGTATTTTTCGACTTACATATGCACTTATTCGATTTTTTACGGTGATGGAAAACATCGTAATGCAACCTGCACATATCTACGAAGAGATTCAAATATATGTGTGAAGTCAACCAGCCCGTACTGGGGCAGCGAGGTTGACTATGGGCTCGTCAATCCTGATTTATGGCAGGCACCGAGCTCGAGAATCAGAATATAGAAATCTCCGAGATCGCTCCCTTCATCTCTATTAATATGTCAAATGGACGTTTTAAGAATTTGGTGACAAGTGTCAACAGTCAATGTCAAATATAGACTTATGCAGTTTTGAAGCAAAAAAGTAAAGTTTTGGGTTTAATTGTTTTGCAGTTTCAATATTGCGGTGTCAAAATTTCACTTCGCTAGTGGCAAATATGGATGATTATCGTATGTAAAACGAAATAACATACGAAGTATATCAATTGACATGGAACATGTCAATATATATTGTAATGAAATGTTGATGTTTATTTACAGTACTAAACGACGGCGACAGCGAAAGCGATGGAGAGAGCGAGGAGGAGCTGAACATGCAAAGTAGCGAGGGCCAGGCCAGAGTGGTGATGACGCGAACAGCAGCCCCCGTAAAAAAACAGCATTTTGATAAATCCCTGGCTGCGTCACACTCGGTTTGTATTTATTTATTAATTATAAATATGTATATATAATAATACTGTGGTAGATTTATACTTGTAGATGGAGCATTTGCAGTACAAAAGTGTGATATATTAGAAGGCCTGTAGAGGTTTGTTTTGTGGTAAATTTTCCATTATCATTACAATATTAACATATAAAATAAATGGAATACCATTATGTTTATATGTATTCTTTTTAAATAATATGTGCTGTGACAATTTTTAATCAATTATTTTATAACAACAACACAAATTTTTGTTTGTTAAAATTTAATCTTACTAATACTATAAATGCAAATGTTTGGATGTTTGTTTGATCAAATCTTAGGAATGGCTCAATGGATCTTGGTGAAATTTTGCACAGATATAGAACATATTCTAAAAGAACACATAGCAGATGGAGTCACTGATGACAGCTTGTTATAAAATATCAATTAGCAAATTTCAAATGTTAATTTATTTTACTTTTAATTTAAAAATATATATAACTAGCTGTCACCCGCGACTCCGTCTGTTTGGATATATAAAAAAAAAATAATTAGTGTAGCCCACCCATCCATCCATCCACATAACATCCATCTAAACATTTGCACTTATAATATTAGTAAGTTAAATAAAATCGGAAAAAAAAGAATAAATAGTATCCTATGTCTGTCTCCCGGCTCTAAGCTACCTCCTCACCAATTTTCAGCCATATTGGTAAAGATGTTCTTGAGTTATAAATAGTGTAACTAACACGACTTTCTTTTGTATGTATAGAAGATTTGAGTTGCTAATTTTATTCCAACTTAAATGTCATAAACATTTTTTTGTTCAAATTGCTTGTTTCATTTTGATATCTTTGTATATGTTGAATATACTCTATTTAACATCAAAAATTCTTCCCGGTGTTTTCATGTGGCCTGTGGGTGTTGCAGTACATGGGCGGCGGGCTGGTGCCGCTGCGCGGGCGCTCGGTCCTGGAGCCGGGCTGGCAGGGCCGACTGCCCGTGGCGGCGCATTCGGGCGCCGTCTTCCCCGGCGAGACCGTACCCATGCTGATGCCAGACTACGACGACGCCATTCTCCTCTTCGAGGCCATTCAACGAGACAAACTATTCGGCCTGCTGTGTCCAGAGTATGTCGTCCATAACTTCCTTTATTTAATAAGTGGGCGAACGAGCGAGGCCTCGTCAACGTTTAGGCGTCGGCCGAGGCGCATCGACGTGTTTAACGTCGGGCAACATCGTTAGCGATGTTATTTTCCATGGGTACAAATAATGAGGTATGTGCAGCGAGACGGGCGGCATGGTGTCGGGGTACGGCGTGGTGTGCGAGGTGTACGAGGCGGGGACTGCGGGCGCGGGCGAGGCGCGCGGCAACACGGCGCTGTCGTTCAAGGCGCGCGCGCGCCACCGCTTCCGCCTCCTCCACCCGCCCGACCACCCCGCGCCCCTGCACTCATACACCAGGTATACATATAACCTTCCACCATCGCGAACAACAGGTGAGTTGATAGAATGTTTTTGGGGGATATGTATGACGCATGTGGGGTGAGCAGGATGCGGTTCGCGGAGGTGCGCGTGCTGCCGGAGCTGGAGCCCGCGGAGCCGCTGCGCCTCGCGCGCCTCGCCAGCCTCGACGCCCTGCGCGCGCCCCGCCCCGCCCCGCCCTTCGCCCCCGACCTCCGGCACTCGCCGTGAGTACACGCGCACGCGCCGCCGGACATGCCGGACCTCGGTGCGATTCAGTCCCGTCTAGAGCGGAGTGTGCGTGTGTGCAGCGTGGCGCGGCGCGTGCGCGGCATGGACGCGGCGCTGACGCCGTGGCCGCGCTTCGTGCACGAGCTGCTGGAGTACCGGCGCGTGCGCGACCAGCTGCACGCCCACTTCAGCTCCCTCGACCTCGGTGAGCGCCCCCCGCCCCCTGACCCTCGCCCCCGCCCCCGCCCCCACTAACGCAAACGATACACCGCACACGAAAACAACAAACTACACACTAATTCTGGTAAAAAACTTTTTCACACAACTAATTAGGCGCCCTTATTTTACGTATCGTGACGACCTCCACGAGTAATACTGCACGGGCACTGAGCTGGTCGTATGCGTTACCTTCCTCTTCGTGTAACGAGGAGACGCGCGTGTGTCACAGGGCCGCTGCCGGAGGAGGCGGTGGCGCTGTCCTTCTGGGTCGCCTCCAACCTGACGCTGTCGGCGCGCGACCGACACGCGCTGTTCGCGGTGGACGACGTGCTGCTGCGCCTGCGCTTGGAGCTGCGTTTCATCGGCCGGGTACGTCCCCCGGCCCCGCCCCGCCCCGCCCTCCGCCCCGCCCCACCGCCACACTCACGCACACTTTCTCTTACAGAAGAGCGCGCTGTGCTGTGCGGCGTGCGGCGCGGAGATAGCGCGGCGCGACGACGTGCTGCCCATGTCCAGCGAGGGCGTGCACTCCAACTACACCAATTCAGGTCGTCCGTCCCCCTACCCCCGCCCCCCCGCCCCCACCCCACTCAAACCTGGCCATGTTTTCCGTCGGTATGTATGTATGTTCGTCCGGTGCGGCCGCCCGGGGATCCAACGGCTCGGCATATTTTGAAGCCGGAGAAAGAAAGTTCTCGTTTTTTAAATATCAGTTGCGAAGAAGAAAGATTGAGGAAGAGGTAAGAATGTTAGGATGTAATGCAGGCGGGTACATGCACGACATCGTGACGGTGTCGCGCGCGCGCGGCGTGGTGCCCAGCGGGCGGCGCTCCGCGGAGTTCTCCTGGTTCCCGGGCTACGCCTGGACCATCATCGTGTGCGGCGCCTGCAGGACGCACCTCGGCTGGCAGTGAGTCACGTCGCCCACCGCCCACTGCCCACTCTGACTCCGCCCACTGGCCAC